ATAGAATAATATCCAACTTGGGAAGTGAAGATAATTGAATGAGATTATATATGTAAAGCTTCCAACAGAATCTCTGGCACATATGAGTGCTAATTTTTACTTTCAATATTAATATTGTATAGTATTCTACATTTTTAAATGACCTTTACATATGTGACTTTATCTTCTGCAGAGAGATGGCCAAGAATTATGTTTGATGACTGGTAAGTAATGCCTTTTGCTCAGTGACTGATGTTTTGAGACAGGACTCCAGACACGACTGTACAAAGAGGAATTAAGACCAATTTATCCACTTAAATTCACGAGCTGCTGAGAGGAAGAACCTTGGAAGCAAGAGAAGGTGTGTTTAGGCATATTTCACTATCAGCCTCCCAGGATGGCAGCCATAGATATGTCACCTGCATGCGGTAAGTCTTTGTTGATGCTTCTTTTCAGGTATTCTACTTTAGGTTACTCTTGCACAACACAGTAGGTTCAGTGCTCAGTCATGCTGTGGGCCACCTAATAAGTGCTGAAGTGGGCCAGAAGGTGAATACATCAGGTTCCTGGTATTTGAGATGGAAGGAGCGGTTGTATATGCTTTGGGAGGAAATGTTGCATATTCGCATTCATGAATTTTATCATCTTCGTTGAATTAACAGTTATACCTCTCTGAATTTCAATTTCTGTACCTATAAAATGGGATTGTTAATCCCTTCATGGGTCACAAGACCCAGAGTCCCCTCTTCTGGCTCTAGGTAAACCATGCTGCTTTGGCATTTTAAGAAGTGGTGTGTTTGTGGTATGTTATGTGCATGGTATGGAACAGCTTCTAGGCATGTGTCAGTATTGTGGACCAGCATAGAATCTCATACTATCTTTCTTCTCTGTAAGAAGGCCATCTATCTCAGGATTTTTTCTGTCTTCGTGAGGGAAAGTCAGAGGAGGCAAGGATGGTGGCTGGGTTGCTGTCAGATTCTTCTCAGGCAAGTGGGAAGTTGACTTTGTTTCTGGAAGCTAGCCATGTCCCCTCATAATGACCCCAAGCTTCTTAAGGAAATATGACCCTGCTCAGGGACTGAGTCTCCAGATGCATTTCCCCAAGACAAAGGACATCTCATAGTTATACAGGGATTACACTGGAAATAATCCTGTGTTTTCAATATTTATGAATTCTTTCTGACTCTCAATCGTGCTTGTGTGCATTTTGTTTTGTTGATTGCTCTGTCAGACACTAAGGAAGAAGATGAAGTGTCTAATCTGAAGGAATTTGTTCTGCCAATATGGAAAGAATTCATCCATTTTGTGCATTTTATAGAGTGCTGCAATGTGCTCAGGACTAGCTGCAACTTATGGAAAGAGGGAACAGTCTAATTGTAGAGATAAGTCCAGTCATGTGCTAGTGGTGCTGTAAAACCAGATGACTGCATGAGATTACCAGGCAGTGTCTATAGATAGAAGAGGTCTGAGCACTCATTCCTGGAGTAGACAATGGGAGACCACAGAACCCCATCTAGGCATATCTCCCTTTCTCAATCCCTCATCCATCTTCTTATGAACATTAAAGGAGATGGTACTTGGCTGAAGTCTGCATGTGTGTGATGGTTTAGGACTTGGTGACCTTTGAGGATGTGGCTGTGGACTTTACCCAGGAGGAGTGGACTTTGCTGGATCAAACTCAGAGAAATCTCTACAGAGATGTGATGCTGGAGAACTACAGGAACCTGGTCACACTAGGTAAGGCTAGTGTCATTAATTCATTTAGTCCTTTATAGAATGGATTATTTTTAAAACCTGTGGAGCAAATGGGAATATAGTGGTAACTGTGGCAGAAGTGGTTCCTGTCTTAAATAGGCATTCCATCTCATGGCTTCCCCGTGAAAATGAAGATCTCTCTAAATAAATGACTTTATTTCCCCTATGGATTGCAAATCTTAGGGCTTCCTAAATGCATAAAATTTCAAGTATGTGTTTCAATTCTTTTTTTTTTAATTGTAGTAAATATATATGTAACAAATTGTTCGGCATTTCAACATTCTTCACGTGTAAAATTTAGTGACATTAGTTATGTTTATCATATTTTTGAACCATTACCATTATCCATTTCCAAATTTTCCCATCACCTTTAACAGCTCAGTATCCCCTTAGTAGTGAATCTTACTTTTCCCTTTCCTCCCACCAGCCCCTGGTTAACCACTAATAGATTTTGGTCTCTATAATCCTAGACTTTTCATATAAGTGGAATCATACAATGTTCATTTGTGGCTGACATATTTCACTCAGCATATTTTCAAGATTTATCCATGTTTTAGCATGTATCAAGACTTCATTTTTCTTTATGACTAATATTCCATTGTATGTATATGCCACTTTTTGTTCATTCATCTGTTGCTTGACATTTAGGTTATTTCTACCTTTTGGCTATTGTGAATAATGCTGCAGTGAACGTTGGTGTACAAGTATCTGTTTGCATTCCTGCTTTCAATTCTTCGATCCCTAATCCTTTTGAGGCACAGAGAGAAAGTATGTTTGAATTTTTGAGCCTTTCAAAAGAACTTTACTACACTTATTAAAAATTTGGTGTGGTTATTTTGCTGTTCTGAAGTTAGACCTGACCATCTTCAGAATCCCTGAAGGCTAAAGTTTTGGTTCCTGATTTATGGAAAAGTTTGTTATTTACTGAACAGTCTTTTTCTTTCATGTATCTTTCCCCTCTAGCAAGGTACCACTTATGCAAACCTGGTCTGATCTCTCAACTAGAAGGTGAAGAGCTGAGAACAGTGGAGGAAGGAGTTATCCAGAGTGAGTAAACAGACAGATATAAATTATTATGAAGAGCAGTCTTAGTCTGGGAGAGGGCAGTACATGTGGAAATGTCCATTGGGAAACATTTTAAGGTGTACTCTTTTCTAGAACACTGAGTCCATTTTGTTTCTGAGATTTCTCATGTAGATTCAACTTCCTGTCATTTTGTCAGACTGGTGGCTTGCATGTTGGTAAGATGCTGGAAGCATGCCACTGGTATTCCAAATACCAGCAAGGTCACCTGTGGTGGACAGGTTTCAGCAGAGCTTCCAAACTAAGACAAACAAGGAAGAAAGGCTCGGTGATTTATTTCCAAAAATTAGCCCATGAAAACCCTATGAATCACAACAGAATATTGCCCAATATAGTGCTAGCTAGATGAACCCTCTAGGTTGAAAGGAACTCAAAATACACAGTGGCTGCAACAGTGGACTTGAGCATATCAACAGTCATGAAGATTTGGTGCAGGACTGGGCAATGTTTCATTCTGTTGTACATGGGGTTGCCGTGAGTCGGAGCCAACTTGTTGGCAACTAACAACATCTATCTTCTTAATCTCTTGGCCTCACAGAAGAATCTGTGGCATTTTTTTCTCAATTTTTTAATGCATGTATTTGTCCATTTTTTCCCACTCTTTCCTTGATAATCCCATCTTTCTGATTATTGTCAGTCTCATTTCTTAGTAAATGATCTTGAAACCATGTAAATAATTACCTCTGATTTTTGACACCTTGTCCTTATCACTGCCAAACTCTTGACATAGCCAAACATTTAAAATCTGTTTTTTTATTTTAACAATTTAAACCATATTTCAGATTAGTATTGTAAAATATATATAATGATCTCTAACACCTTTATCTGCCACAATTTATTTCTTCAAAACAGTTTTTTAAAAATTTTATTTCAGAATTGGACTTGCAATTTAAAGCCATAGTGTCAGCACCTCAGCAAGATATTTCTGGGGAAAAAGTTTCCAGTGGAATACAGCTGGTAAGATTTTCAAGTTGTGATTTCTTTCCTCCATATTAGTAATAGATGGAATACCATAAGATAGAACCAAAAAAAAAATCAAACCCATTGATGTTGAGTCAATTCCGACTCATAGCAACCCTACAGGACAGAATAGAACTGCTCCATAGGGTTTCGAAGGAGTGGCTGGTGGATTCAAACTGCTGACCTTTTGGTTAGCAGCTGTAGCATGCTGTAGCTGTTAACCACTGTGCCAGCAGGACTCCATAAGATAGAACCCAAAAAACAAAAAACTCATTGCCGTTGAGTCGATTCAGACTCATAGCAACCCTATCGGACAGAGTAGACCTGCCCCATAGGGTTTCCAAGGAGCAGCTGGTGGATTTGAACTGCTGACCTCTTGGTTACCAACTGAACTCTTAACCACTGCACCACTAGGGCTCCATAAGATAGAACAGCAGCCCCAAAATAATGAAAAACATATGAAGCAAATAGCATTTACCCAAGAGAAAACAGAATCTTTAGAGAGATTCTTTGAATATTATAAATTTGGAGAACACACTACACTTAGCTCAAAACCTGTTTCTTCACAGAGAGTTACTACAAGTAAGCATCCTCATATATTTAACATATTTGATACATAAATTAGTCTTAACAATTATTAGACAAACTGTCTCTAAAAAGCCCTGTGGAAGTAGAGACTATAATACAGTCTCTTGGCTGTATGATCACAAAATTTAACTTGAAATAACTAAAAACAGGACAGAAACTATACATGCAGTGAAAATGGTAAAATCTTCATTCATAGTAGTATTTCCTATACATAACAAGAATCATGATGAGAATGTAACTGTAATGGATGTGAAAAAGCTTTTAGTCATCATTTGTCTCTTCATCAACAGGAGCGAATCCACACTGGGGTGGAACATTATGACTGTAAACAATGTGGAAAAGCCTTCAGTGAACATTCATGCCTTGAGACTCACATGAGAACTCACATTAGAGAGAAAGCACATAAGGGTAATCAACATGGAAGAGCCTTCAGTAAGAACTCTAGCTGTACTGTGATCAAAAGAACCCAGATTGGGCAGAAATCTTCTGAGGATTATCAACGTGAAAAAGCTTTCAATCAACTTCGAAATATTGTGCACAAAAAAACTCACCCACGAGAAAAACTATATGAATGCAAAGACTGTGGGAGAGCCTTTGCTAATCAGTCATACCTTAAGGTACATGTGAGATCTCACGTTGGAGAAAAACCCTATATATGTAAGGAATGTGGGAAAGCCTTCACTAATTCCTCACACCTTACAGAACATGTAAGAATTCACAGTGGAGAAAAGCCTTATGTGTGTAAGGAATGTGGGAAAGCCTTCACTCAGTCCTCAGGACTTATGTTACACAGCAGAACTCATACTGGAGAAAAACCATATGAATGTAAGGAATGTGGGAAAGCTTTCACTGATTCCTCAAGTCTTAATCAACATGTAAGAATTCACAGTGGAGAAAAGCCATATCAATGTAAGGAATGTGGGAAAGCCTTTACCCAATCCTCAGGCCTTACTGTACATTTAAGAACTCACACTGGAGAGAAGGCCTATGAATGTAAGGAATGTGGGAAAGCTTTTACTCGTTCCACAAGCCTTAATATGCACATGCGAACTCATACTGGAGAAAAACCCTATGAATGTAAGGAATGCGGGAAAGCCTTTAGATATTCCACATGCCTTAATATTCATATGCGAACCCACACTGGAGAGAAACCCTACAAATGTAAGGAATGTGGAAAAGCCTTCATTCAGTCTTCAGCACTTTCTAAACATGTAAGAAATCACACGAGAGAGGTTCTATGAATGTAAAGTATGTGAAAAAGCCTTTAAATGTACGGCAGACTTTAACAGTCATATCCGAACTCAGCTGGTGAAAGACCAGTGACCTTCCATAATATGTAAGAACTTAGAGTGGACAAAAACTCCATTAATATAAGGAATGTGGAAGAGCCTTCATTAATTTTTCATACCTTAGAGAACAATTAAGAACTCTTATTGGAGAGAAGCCTTTGGCTTATAAGGCATGAAGGAAAGCATTTACTCGTTCCACAATGCTTATTTTACACATCTAAAATTATGACAAAACCCCTAGGAAGGTGAGGAAAGTGGCACAACCTTTAAATATTTCACATGCCATAATACATGAAATCTCATATTGATGAAAGACTATGTATGGAAATCACGTCATAAAACCTTAATAGCCACATGAGAATTCACACTGGAGTAAAACCCTGTGAATGCAAAGGTACAGGAAGACCTTCGCTTGTTCTTCATATCTTACGATTTAAGAACTCAGTTGAAAAATATCCTATGAATTTAAGGAATATGAGAAAGCTAGTATGTATGAATTCACACTGAAGCTGTACAAATGTAAGACATGTGGAAGACCCTTCACTGATTCCTCGGGTCTTACTGAATAAGATCTTACAGTGGAGAGAAACCCTGTGAATGTAAGATATGTGGGAAAATTGTAGTTCTGCCTAATACTTTAATATCCAACTGTGATCTCCTGTAATAGGAGTGAAGAAAAACTTTATGATTGTAAGAAGTGTTGGAAAATCATTATTTTTTCATTTGATTCTTTAGTAAACATGGAGAAATTCACACCCAAGAGAAACTGTGAATATAATGAATGTAGGAAATGCTTCTCTGAGTCCTGAAATCTTATGGTCTGCTCACAAAAACATGGCTTTCTAGGTGGTTACATAGATCTATTTTGAACATTCGTGATTCTTCCTGATCATTCTTGTGCACAGTGTGTCTTTCTTTTTCCTAAGAGCAGTGCCAGGCCAGTCTCCTACCTGGCCTAACTCCTTTGCTGTCTCCTGATGGCATCATCAAGTGGCAGCCTGGCCAAAAGGGGGCCTGTGGGAGTCCCACTTAATCCTGTTTCAGCCACCAGGATTCTCTTGTTGGATTGATGGTCTTCGATAGTGAAGGGAGTCATGGGTGGTGCAAACAGGTAACACACTCATCTGTTAACCAAAAGGTTGTAGATTAGAGTCTACCCAGAGACACCTCAAAAGAAAGACCTGGTAATCTACTTTTGAAAAATCAGCCATTGAAAATCCTATAGAGCACAGTTCTACTCTGACACACAGGGGGTTGCCATGAGTCAGGATGAATTCAACAGCAACCAGTGATGGTATATAGTGAAGACAATGATCACTTGATTGAGTACACTTCTCTCCAAGTCTTATCTACAGTGGCTCACACTGGCTAAGGTGTGGAATATAATACATCTCTGTAAATTTTGTAAATATGCTCTTGTATCCCTCTTGCATCTGATCCTTTTGAATAAAATGTCCAAGTGTGAGCAGGGAATGAGTGGAGAAAAGGTGAGATTATAGCTGCTGATATGAGACTGATTTTGTGGCCACGAAGGGAGAGCAACACCAGCAACTAAGGAGGCAATACCTTTGACCTTGGGAAGTGCAGGGAGGGGTGGGAAAAACGAATGCTGTCTTTGACCACTACATCCAGCACCATAGCCTGGAAAAGCAATCATTGTTCTGCTGAGTCAAGCAACAGTTGTGTCTGGCAATCTGATCCTCTGCTGGATTTGTTATTCCTCTGTACATGCTATGAAAACAGAAAAATTCATGGACATGTCTGCTCCTGATATTCAGTTGTTATTGATGCCATTATTGACAGCCCCTGATGCCATCACTGGGCCCTGGGTACTGACATGCTGACCAGCACAACCTTGTTTCAGTCTGAATGATACAAATTCATAACTTCTGATGCCTGAGTAGCCTTGAGTTATGTATGGTGATCAATGATGCAACTGCTTGGTGACACTGTCTTTGGGACTTTAACCAGTATAATGGTAATCCAAATCAAGTTTAACAAGAAATTCTGGGCTGGAGTGACCTGTGCCATTTCGTATTACATGTTTGTATGTATGAGGACAGCAGGTCACAGGATGGCTCTCTCTTGGGGAGGGGAGTTGCTATATAACCTATCTTTTGCACCCTTTAATTATTAGCAATGACAACAAAGATCAGATTAGTTTCACTCCCTCATATGGGTTGCAATGGATAACAGATTGGCCTTAGATTGTTACATCCTGATTTTCTGAATTAGGACCTACTATACCCTGCTCAAACTTATTCACAGTTGGGAGGTGGGGATGGTTGAGGTCAACACTACAGGTTGGTCTCATTTTGCCACTTGGAGTCCTAACGATAGTCTTGTTGTTGTTGTTAGGTGCCATCCCATCGGTTCTGACTCATAGCGACCCTATGTATAACAGAACAAAACACTGCCTGATCCAGTGCCATCCTCGCAATTATTGTTATGCTTGAGCACATTGTTACAGCTGCTGTGTCAATCCATCTCATCGAGGGTCTTTCTCTTTTTTGCTGACCCTCTACCAAGCATGATGTCCTTCTCCAGGGACTGGTCCCTGATAGTAATATGTCCACGTACAGGAAACGAAGTCTCACCATCCTCACTTCCAAGGAGCATTCCAGCTGTACTTCTTCCAAGACAAATTTGTTCATTCTTTCGGCAGTCCATGGTATATTCAATATTCTTCGCCAACACCATAACAGAAAGGTGTCAATTCTTTGGTCTTCCTTATTTATTGCCCAGCTTTCACATGCATATGGGGTGATTGAAAACACCACGGCTTGGGTCAGGCGCACCTTAGTCTTCAAGGTGACATCTTTGCTTTTTAACACTTTAAAGAAGTCATTTGCAGCAGATTTGCCCAGTGCAATATGTTGTTTGATTTCTTGACTGCTGCTTCTATGGGTGTTGATTATGGATCCAAGTAAAATGAAATCATTGACAACTTCAATCTTTTCTCCGTGTATAATGATGTTTCTTATTGGTCCAGTTGTGAGGATTTTTGTTTTCTTTATGTTGAGATACAATCTATGCTGAAGGCTGTGGTCTTTGATCTTCATCAGTAAGTGCTTTAGGTCTTCTTCACTTTCAGCAAGCAAGGTTGTATCACCTGCATAAGGCAGGTTGTTAATGAGTTTTCTCCAAACTTGATGCCCTGTTCTTCTTATAGTCCAGCTTCCGTAAGATTATTTGTTCAGCATACAGATTGAAAACTTATGTGAAAGGATACAACCCTGATGCACACCTTTCCTGACTTTAAACCACACAGTATCCCCTTGTTCTCTTCGAACAACTGCTTCTTGTTCTATGTACAGGGTCCTCATGAGCACAATTAAGCGTTCTAGAATTCCCATTCTTCACAGCATTATCCATAATTTGGTATGATCCACACAACTGAATGCCTTTGCGTAGTCAATAAAACACAGGTAAACATCTTTCTGGTATTCTCCACTTTCATCAACAATGATATCCCTTGTTCCACATCCTCCTCAGAATTTGGCTTGAATTTCTGGCAGTCCCTGTCAAGTGTACTGCTACAACCAATTTTTGAATCATTTTCAGCATAATTTTACTTGTTTGTGATATTAATGATATTGTTTGATAATTTCAGCATTCTATTGAATCACCTTTCTTTGGAATGGGCACAAATATGGATCTCTTCCAGTCTGTTGGCCAGGCAGCTGTCCTCCAAATTTCTTGGCATTGACGAGTGAGCACTTCCAGCACTGCATCCATTTGTTGAAACATCTCAACTGGTATTCCGTCGGTTCCTGTAGCCTTGTTTTTTGCCATTTTCTTTGGTGCACTTGGACGTCTTCCTTCAGTATCATCAGTTCTTGATCATATACTACCTCCTGAAATGACTGAATGTCCATCAATTCTTTTTGGTACAGTGACTGTGTATTCCTTCCATCTTCTTTTGATGTTTCCTGTGTTGTTCAATATTTTCCCCATAGAATCCTTCTATATTGCAACTCGAGCCTTGAATTTTTTCTTCAGTTCTTTCATCTTGAGAAATGCCTAGGGTGTTCTTCCCTTTTGGTTTTCTATCTCCAGGTCTTTGCACGTTTCATTATAATACTTTATCTTTTTGAGATGCCCTCTGAAATCTTCTGTTCACTTCCTGTACTTCATCATTTCTTCCTTTTGCTTTAGCTACTCAATGTTAAAAGCAAGTTTCAGAGTCTCTTCTGACATCCATTTTGGCTTTTCTTTCCTGTCTTTTTAATGACCTCTTGCTTTCTTCATGTATGATGTCTTTGATGTTATTCCACAACTTGTCTAGTCTTCAGTCGTTAGTGTTCAGTGCATCAAATCTATTCTTGAGATGGTCTCTAAATTCAAGTGGGATATGCTCACGGTCGTATTTTGAGTCTCATGGACCTGCTCTAATTTTCTTCAGCTTCAACTTGAACTTGCATATGAGCAACTGATGGTCTGTTCTGCAGTCGGCCCCTGGCTTTGTTCTGACCAATGATACTGAGCTTCTCCATCGTCTTTTTCCACAGATGTAGTTGATTTGATTCCTGTGCTTTCTACCTGGCGAGGTCCACGTGTATAGTCACCATTTATGTTGTTGAAAAAAGGTAATTGCAATGAATGAGTCGTTGGTCTTGCAAAATTCCGTCATGCAATCTTTGGTGTCATTTCTGTCACCAAGGCCATATTTTTCAATTACTGATCCTTCTTCTTTTTTTCCAACCTTCACATGCCAATCATCAGTAATTATCAGTGCATCCTGATTGCATATTTTGATGAACTTCAGACTGCAGAAGTTGGTAAAAATCTTCTGTTTCTTCATCTTTGGCCTTAGAGGTTGGTGTGTAAATTTGAATAATAGTTGTATTGATTGGTCTTTCTTATAGGCATATGGATATTTTCCTAACACTGACAGCGCTGTACTTCAGGATAGATCTTGAAATGTTCTTTTTGACAATGGGTGCAATGCCATTCCTCTTCAATTTGTCATTCCTGGCACAGGAAACCATATGATTGTCTGATTCAAAATTCCAGTACCAGTCCATTTCAGCTCACTAATGCCTAGGATATCGATCTTTATGCATTCCATTTCATTTTTGATGACTTCCAATTTTCCTAGATTCATACTTCATACATTCCACGTTCCAATTATAAATGGATGTTTGCAGCTGTTTCTTCTCATTTTGCATCTTGCCATATCAGCAAATGAAGGTTCTGAAACCTTGACTCCATCTACGTCATTAAGGTTGACTCTACTTTGAGGAGGCAGTTCTTCCCCACAGTAGCTTTAATAAATGCTGTCTGAGTTTAGTTGAATGGATTTGGTCTGAGCCTGTCAATCTGGTCAGGTTAATCAGTGACTGACAGAGTGACATATTAATGTTATAATTCATCAGAAACCAAATGATATAAGGCCCAGAGGTGGATTGTTGAGATACATTTCTCCTTGGATCTCATGCTCCTAGACATCTTGCTAAGCATACCAAGAATGCAAGGTCCTGACCCCTCCTTATTTATGTCATTTCTCAGGGCTGTCTTTTCAGTGAGCAACCTTGAGAGATGAGATAATCTCTCCTTTTGGGACAAAGAGCAGGCTTGCTTACTGTCTCCTATAAAACTGAGTTTCCTAACCTCAGTGTTCCTCTCCTGTAACACAATCCAGTGCATATGCAAGCAAGCATCATCTAGGGATTGCCTCTGAAGAACTGGGATGCAAGGGAGATCAATGTAAAGATGCTGACACATGCTGCTGTAAAGTCCTACTGTTGTGGTAAAGTCCATGCTGTAGTAAAGTCTTTTGTCTCTGAATCCAGAGTTTCAGATCTTCTGCCAGCTTCCATGAAAGAGTAACGTGCTACCTTACTAGTTTCCAAGTAAATACAATGGAATCTCAGGTCTAACACTTTTGGCAATGAAGGTGGCATGCTGACAGAAACATGGCTTTCTGGAAGAGAAATGGCAAGGGTTATCTGTGCCAGGTTCAGAGATGTAAAACACCCTGAAAACCAGTAATGAACTCTCTTCTCAGAAGACGAGGGGAGTATGCGTCCGCTTGTGTCCTACCTATTCATGAGATTGAATGCCAAAAGGTACGATTGAAACAAGGCATCCAAATGACCCCTTGATGGTGGTTCAGTCTCCACTAGGTGGGTGTAGGAAGGGATGTTATCCTTATAATGGAGCTAAAAGCCCTGCAGCCTCAGCCAAAACAGAGTCAGAGGATCCCCAGAGTTGACACAAATGGTGTCAACAATGAGAACTTTTCCATTTGATCGCTTTGTGGTTGTTAGTTGCCACTGAGTAGGCTCCGACTCTGGTGACTGCCTTAGTTTTCTAGTGCTGCTGCAAGAGAAATACTACAAGCAGATGGCTTTAACAAACAAAATTATTTTCTCACATTTTAGGAGGCTGGAAGCCCAAATTTAGGGTGCCAGCTCTAGGGGATGTCTTTCTCTGTCGGCTCAGAAGGAAGGTCCTTGTGTCTTTGAGCTTCTACTCCTGGGAGATCTTTGTGTGGCTTGGTATGTCTCTTCCCCCACCTCTACTTCTCTCCCTTGCTTGTTTTAATCTCTTTTATATCTCAAAAGAGATTGACTCATGACACACCCTATACTATTCCTGCCTCATTAACATAACAAAGACAACCCATTCCCATATGGGATTATAACCACAGGCATAGAGGTTAAGGTTTACAACACATATTTTGGGGGACACAATTCAATTTTTACAGTGACCTTATGTATAACAGAATAAAATGTTGCCCAGTTCTCCATTCTCACGATCATTAGTACACTGGAGCCCTTTGTTGTGGCTACTGTGTCAATCCATATCATTAAGGGTTTCCCTTGTTTTTGCTTTAGGTAAACTGAAAGCATTAGACGTTTGGTTGAGCTGTAAGTGAGCAGCACCTCAAAAATGAAAGTCAATGTAATCATTGGCTCAGGGATGCTCTCACCTTCCATGTGTCTGATCTCTCTCTGTCCCTGAGACCAAAAGGCATATGCACTTTTGGGTATCCTAGGAAACCTCAGGGAGAGGAGGGACTCAAACATTTATGGTTCTGTTGAAGAATGGGAATTCTGGAACATTTAATTGTGCTCATGAGGAACCTGTACATGGTCAAGAAGCAGTAGTCCAAACAGAGCTAGGAGGATACTACAAGATTTTAAACTGAAAAAGGTGTGTGGCAGAGTTGTGTTCTTTCACCTTACTTATTCAATCTATATGCTGAAAATGTAATTCAAGAAGCGAGGCTATATGAAGAAGTATGTGGCACCAGGATTGAAGGAAGGCTTATTAACAACCTGATATGCAAATAACACAACCTTGCTTGCCAAAGATGACTTGAAGCTCTTACTGATGAAGGTAAAAGACTACAGCCTTCAGTATAGATAATACCTGAACATAAAGAAAAAATACTTACAACTGGACCAATAAACAACATATCATGATAAATGGTGAAGAAATTGAAGTTCCTAAGGATTTCATTCTACTTGGTTCCACAATCAATGCCCATGAAAGCAGCAGTCAAGACATCAAATGACGCTCTTACCTAGGGAAGCAACACAATCAGTCATGTCTACTTCACCCACTTTCCCAGGTGCTATTTCCACCTTGATGTGAACAAAGGTGTGGAGTTGATACAGACACAGGGTTGAAAGAGGTGGTTCTGGGTGATCCTTATTCTCCCTCCTCTTCCTCATCACTCTTCTTGCTGAAAGACGCACTTCTGTGGCCATAGCATTTTGTGCAACATCAAGGAATCCTTACCATAATTCCTCCACCAAGCCAAATGTCAACATTTCAATATCATTGTGTAAACAGACTATCCTTTGACCCTCCCCCACAAATATAACAAGGAAATGGCACTTGGCTTTGAGGGGCTCTGAACTGGGGAGGAAAGGGAAGCCGCGGGGAACTCCAGACAGGTAAGAATCAAATCGCATCACATACGGGAGGAAAACCACTTCTCCCACTGTCCCTGTCCCTCCCCCCAGCCACGTGGGCTACTAGCTGCTGTGAACTGGGGAAGTTGCCCCAGAAAAAGAGACTGTTTCCCTAACCACCACATCTCCCGCCTCTACAGAGAGACAGGACTCCAAGCTTCTGCTCTAAAATCAATAAAGCAGACCTTCCCAGGGGTCTGTTTGGAGGGTTCCAGCACCTCCTCCACATGGACAATGTCAGCTGCAAGCCTACTGCGGATTGTTACACCCCCTGCAATGGAGTCTGTGCCAATAGTCAACACTCTACCTGACTCCCTGTGCACCCCATAGCCCAGGCCTTTGAAACCAACAGGACAGATCTCCTGGGGAGCCAGTTTGGGTCTGCCTGCTCACCCTTCTGGTTGGCACTGAGGACTACTGACTGAGGCTGCTGTGTACTAAGAAGCAGGCATCTAGAGTAGAGGCTACACCCACAGCCAACATACTACAGGGGGTCTCAGATAGCAATAAGACAGACCTCCCTGGGGGTCTGTCTGGAGCATGACAACCCCTTCTCCACCTGAACACTGTCACCTACAAGCCTGCAGTGAATTGCTACAGAAGGTCTCTGGAGTGGAGTCTGCTCCCATAGTCAGCACTCTACCTGCCTCTGGGTACCCCATAGCTCAAGCCTCTGAAACCAACAAGACAAACCTCCCTGGGGGTCACTTTGGGTTAGACTACCCCCAGTTCCCGTTGGTGCTGAGGACTGCTGTCTGAGGTTGTTTTATGCTAGGAAGCAGGCATCTTGAGTGGAGGCTGCATTCACAACCAACAATCTACCAGGGGGGATATTAATATCAACAAGGCAGACCTATGTGGGGATCTGACCAGAGCGTGACACCCCCTCCCCCCCGGTAACTGTTGGTTGCCAGGGTGTTGCAAACTGTTACAGAAGGCCCCTACAGTGGAGTCTACTCCCATACTCAACACTCTTACCTGCCTCCTGTGCACCCCATAGCTCAGGCCTCTGAAACCAAAATGACACCCCTCATTGGAGTTCCACTTGGGTCTGTCTTCTTCCCCTTCTGTCCAGTGCTGAGGGCTAAGGCTGCTGTGTGCTAGGAAAAAGGCATTGTGAGTGGAGGCTACACCCACAGCCAACATAGTATGGTGTGGGTTCTGATGGCAATAAGGCAGACCTCCCTGGGGATCCATTTGGAGTGTGACTACCCTTTTCCCAACCAGTAACAGTCAGCTGCTGGACTGATAAGAACTCCTACATAAGGTTTCCTACAGTCAAGTCAGGAGGTGGGTCACCTAAGTGGAGAGTGTGCCCCTAACCACCACAGGGCTACTGAGGCTCTGAAACCAACAAGGCAGATCTCTCAGAGGTCCTCTGGGGAGTGCCAGCCCCTCCTCCTCCTGAAATGAAAGAAAGTCTACCTGTGCACCCCTGAATCCTGCTCAGATATAAGCAGCCCCAAAGAGCAGGGAAGGAAACCTTGGGCAAAACCACAGGGCAACACCCATCCCTGAAGGGAGCTCACTGGGTGTGAGTTTTTCAACTAAAATGTGATTGCAGAAACAGAAGGGAAGGGAGTAATGACCAGAGAGTACTACAACCCCTGGTGGACAGATTGATTAGTACACAATATCTTGCATGAGTGATGGTGTCAGCTGGTGGACAGCACACAGCATGTTCTCTTGTGTGTCTAGGAGAGACAGAAAATTGAAAAACGAGATCTAGAACTTTTGAATCCAAATTAAATCAGGAAGGGATAAGAAGATATCCCAGAGAGAGAGCAGAAATGATAAGCAAAGGCCAAAGGCTCTGACCACCTAAGAGTTTCTTGCATAAAGTTGTGTGGACAAAAACACCAAATACTGGGGAAAATTAAGAAAGTTAACACCCTCGAAAATTCCAATGTCCAAAAAGTCACAAGACACACAGAGAAACAATGGGCCATCCAAATTATCATGACAAAAGGAGTGAAAGTACATCTAGGGGATGACCAAATAATGAAAAAAATGGAAGAACATAACAGCATTAAACATAATTAAAAAAACTGAGGGAAAACAAAGATCTCAGAGAAATAAGGAAAACAATGCAAGAACAAAATGAGGATCTAAAAAAAGATATTGCAAATGAATATAACTGAAATGAGAAACACAATAGAAGGACTTACCAACAGGTTTAATCAGGCAGAAGAAAGAACGAATTAGAAGGTAAAACAGTTAAAATTACAGACACTGAAAAGCAACAAGAATGAAGATTCAAGAAGGCTTAGCACAGTTTAATGGAATTATGAGACTACAAGAGGACTAATATACGCATCACAGGAATTCCAGAAGGAGATGAGAATGAGAAAGGGACAGAAAGAATATTTGAAAAATAATGACAGAAAATTTCCCCAAGCTAACAAAGGACATGAAGCTACAAACCCAAGAAGCTCAAAGTACCCTAAGCAGGGTAAACCCAAAGAAATCTACACCAAGACACATCATAGGTTCTCAAGAATTAAAGATAGAGAAACCTGAAAGCAGTGAGAAAGAAGCAGTCACATACAAAGGATCCCCAATACGAGTAAGTGCCAATTTTTACTCAGAAATATTAGAAGCCAGAAGGCAATGGAATGATATATTTAAAATGCTGAAGGAAAAAAACTCAACCAAGAATATCCAGTGAAACGATTCTTCAAGAATGAGGTTGAAATTAAAACATTCCCAGACGAACAGAAGCCGAGAGAGTTCATATCCACCAGACTGGCCCAACAAAAAAATAGTAACAGGAGTTCTGTATATGAAAGGGAAAAGACACTAGAAAGTAATCCAAAGCTATATATAAAAAGAAAGATCTCTAATAAAGGGAAATGCACGAACAAGCATAAGGGCTAGTGTGGTGGTTAAGATTGTGAGTCAACTTGGCTGGGCCATGATTCTCAATGGTTTGGCAGTTGATGTAGTTTGGTAGCTATGTGATCATGTAATCACCCCCATGATGAGATCTGTTATAAACAGCCAAATAGTTGAAAGGGTGATTTCTTAGGGGTGTGGCCTGCATCCAATATAGGTGGACTTTCTGGCAAAGCTCATTGGCTCTTGCTTGCTCTGGATCCTGTAGCTGGTTCCTGTTCATCTGACCTCAAGTTTTGGGGACTTGAGCTAGCAGCTTGGGAGTCATCAGCCTTCACAGCCTGTGAGCAAGAGGCCTGCTATCTGAACAGCTGATTTAGGTTCACCAGCCCTTGTAGCTGTGAGTTAGGAGACACCTCCAGCCTGACCCATGGACTTGGGACTTTCCAGCATCTACAGCCACGTGAGGCACTTCCTTGATATGTCCAGAAACAAATCCACATATCTATGGTTAACTGCTTTTTGACAAGAGTGCAAAATAAATTCAATGGGAAAGTCTCTTCAATAAATGGTGCTGGGAAAACTGGCTTTCCACATGCAGAAAAATGAAACAGGATCCATGCCTCACACCATACACAAAAACTAAAAATAAATTAAGGACCTAAATGTGCAAACTAAAGCCATAAAATTCTTAGAAGAACAAGCAAGAGCAATGCTGTCAGGCCTACCTTTCAACAATGGATTATCTGATATAACAAAAGCATAAATAGAAAAGACAAAATACATAAATGAGACCTCATAAAAATTAAAAACTTTTGTTTCATCAAAAGCTTTTACCAAAAAAGTGAAAAGGCAAGCTACTGACTGGAAGAATATCTTCAGAAACCATATACTGGCATACCTCAGAGATACTGTGAGTTCGGTTCCAGACCACAGCAATAAAGTGAATATCACAACAAAGCAAGTCACACAAATTTTTTGATTTCCTAGTGCATATAAACGTTTTGTTTACACTATACTATAGTCTATTAAGTGTGCAATAGCATTATGTCTTAAAAAACAATGTACATACCTTAATTAAATAAATATTGGGAGGTGGGGCCAAGATGGCAGAGTAGTCAGACGCTTCCTGTTGTCCCTCTTACAACAAAGACCTGAAAAAACAAATGAATCGATTGCATATGACTAACTAGGAGCCCTGAACATCAAAGGCAAAGTTGAGGAATCAGACTGAGTGGTGGGGGGAGGGAGAGACAGTTTGGAAGCAGCAAGGAGTTGCCAGACCTGACCTTGTGGGAGCTGCAGCCCTTCAGCCCAGATCAGCTCCGGGTGCATGGTGAGGCAGGCAAGCAGTGATGCTCGGCATGCATTTTCCACATTGGGAGAGACCCAGCGGCAGAGAGTCTACTCGGCCATCCAGAACCAGTGAAAAGCAGCACTCAAGCAGCTAAGAATAAGTACTTGCGTGTAGCCTACTTCGGGGATTAAGAAAAGCCCATCTGGGAAAAACCTCTCTCCCATTTACCTCCTCCCTCCCAGATCTGCTGGCTTCAGCAATTGCTGAGTCCCCTGGGCTGCAAGTAGGACACTTAAGGTGCCCTGAGCCATTCTCCCAGCCTTGGAAAGGGAACAAATTAACAAACAGGGAAAAAATAAGCTGCTGGCTCCCCTAAACCAGGAACTGAGGGTTAGCAGAGCTCTTTGCCTAGGCACAGGCATAAGGGGTCCACAGACTTTGAATGCCTTTCAACCCTGCATAGACTTGTGTGGGCCCACCTCAACAGTGTAAGCCCTCACTACCACAGTACAACAGGGTATATACCTGAAGTCTAACTTCAACTGTTTCAGCTGTGAAGTGGCAGGTTTGTGACATTTGACACTGCCCATTAACTGGGCTCCTCACCTGCCCACATCAGGGGCTTGAGGACTGGTGGCTCCACCCATGCCACCTAGCCACCTGTGAGAGGGGTCGAAGAATAAGTGGCGCCCCCCAGTCCTTACAGCCAACAGCATAAGGTGCTCATAGTCCAGTTGCAAAACTCACCTACCTACTTGCTGTAGGGAACAGGAACATGCTTTCCTTTCAGACACTCAGAGGCAGCCATCGGTCCTCTGCCTTGCTCAGCATGTGACCCCCTATTGCATCCAGATACCTGTGCCTACACCAATCACCCTTGCCTGTCTAGGACTGTAGGTGAGAGCCCGCACCACACACTTGGTGACTACCTGGACACCTGAGCTGAATCCATACAAGAAAGTTTAAGACTCCTGGGCTCACATACTTCCTAACAGATCTAACTACCTGGTGACAAGACGTTAGAGCTTCAAAGGCACAAATAATTAAACTAGTGCACACAAGCAGCCTATTTGGGCATATCAAAATAAAACATAACAAAAAGCTAGGACACAGTAAGCGAATATAAAATAAAAAAATTATAATAATTTATTGATGGCTCAGAGACAACAGTCAGTATCAAATCACATAAAGAGGCAGACCACGATGGCCTCAGCAAGCTCCCAAAATAAAGAATCAATAAATTTTCTGGAGGAAAAGAATTTCTTGGAATTACCAGAGGCAGAATAAAAAAGATTAATATACAGAACTCTTCAAGAATTAGGAAAGAAATCCATGAGAACGCAAAGAAATCAAAAGAACAAACAGACAAAACAGTAGCGGAACTTAAAAAGGTCATTCAAGAGCATAATGACAAATTTAATAGGTTTCAAGAATCCATAGAGAGACAGCAAACAGAAATCCAGAAGACTAACAATAAAATTTCAGAATTAGACAACTCAGTGGAAAGTCATAGGAGCAGAATTGAGGCAGTAGAAGTCAGAATTAGTGAGACTGAAGATAAAGCACTTGACACCAACTTATTTGAGGAAAAATCAGATAAAAGAATTTAAAAGTATGAAGAAACTCTAAGAGTTATGTGGGACTCTATCAAGAGAAATAACCTATGAGTGACTGGAGTACCAGAACGTGGGGGAGGGGTAGATAAAATTGTTGAAGATTTGTTGATAGAAAACTTCCTTGATATGAAAGATGAGAAGATATCTATCCAAGATTCTCATCAAACCCCACATACGGTAGATTCCAAAACAAAGTCACCAAGACTTATTATAATCAAACTTACCAAAACCAAAGATAAACAGAGACTTTTAAGAGCACCTAGAGATAAACGAAAAGTCATCAACAAAGGAGAGTCAATAAGAATAAGCTTGGACTACTCAGCAGAAGCCATGCAGGAAGAAAGGCAATGGGATGACATATATAAAGCCATGAAGGAAAAAAATTGCCAGCCAAGAATTATATATCCAGGAAACTGTGTCTCAAATATGATGGCAAAATTAGGGCATTTCCAGATAAACAGAAGTTTAGGGAATTTGCAAAAACCAAACCAAACCAAAATTACAAGAAATACTAAAGGGAGTCCTCCAGTTAGAAAATCAATAACATCAGATAATGCAAGACTAGAACACAGGACAGAGCAACCAGATATCAACACAGATAGGAAAGTCATAAAAATAAATCAAAGCTAAAACACTGAAAATAGGGAAAAAGATATCAATATGTAAAAGATGACAACATTAAAACAAAAAAGAGGGACTAAAAATGTAGACATAGATTTTTCATATAGAGAGGAAGTCAAGGCAATAAAAAGAAATAAAAGAGTTATTTAAACTTAGAAAAATAGGGGTAAATATTGAGGTAACTACAAAGAAAACTAACAATCCTACACATCAAAATAAAAAACAAGAAAAATATAAAGGCTCAGCAAATACAAACTCAACAACAATGAAAAAGATGAAAATACATAAAGAAAAACGACTAGCACAGAAACTAAATGGAACAAAGAAATTGTCAGCAACCCACAAAAAGACATCAAAATGACAGCATTAAACTCATACCTATCAATAATTAAGCTGAATGTAAAGGGACTAAATGCACCAATAAAGACAGTGGCAGATTGGATAAAGAAACACGATCCGTGTATATGCTGCCTACAAGAGACACACCTTAGACTTAAAGACACAAAAACTCAAAGGATGGAAAAAATATATCAAGGAAACGACACTCAAAAAAGAGCAGGAGTGGCAATATTAATCCCTGACAAAACAGACTTTAAAATCCACCACAAAGGATAAGGAAGGACACTATATAATGATTAAAGGATCAGTACACCAGGAGGACATAACTATAATAAATATTTACACACCCAATGACAGGGCCCCAAAATACATAAAACAAACTCTAACAGCATTGGAAAGAGAGATAGCTCCACAATAATAGTAGGAGACTCCAACACTCCACTTTTGGTGGAGGACAGAACATCCAGAAAGCAGCTCAACAAAGACACGGAAGATCTAAATGCTACAATCAACCAACTTGATCTCACGGACATATACCGAACGCTCCACCCAACAGCAGCTAAGTATACTTTATTTTCCAATGAGCATGGAACGTTTTCCAGAATATACCACATACCAGGCCATAAAGCAAGCCTTAACAAAATGCAAAGTATCAAAATATTACGAAGCATCTTTTCTGACCATAAAGCCATAAAAGTAGACATCAATAACAGAAAAAGCAAGGAAAGAAATCAAACACATGGAAACTGAACAACACCTTGCTCAAAAACTACTGGGTTACAGAAGAACTTAAGGATGGAATAAAGAAATTCATAGAATCAAACGAGAATAAAAACATATCTTATTAGTGCTCAGAGGTCAGTTTATAGCAATAAATGCAAACATCCAAAAAGAAGAAAGGGTCAAAGTCAAAACATTAACCCTACTACTCAAACAAATAGAAAGAGAGCAGCAAAACAAGGCCTCAGGCGCCAAAAGAAAGGAAATAAGAATTAGAGCAGCATTAAATGAAATAGAGAATAGAAAAACAATTGAAAGAGTTACCAAGACCAAAGCTGGTTCTTTGAACAGATCAAAAAAATTGATAAACCATTTTCAAAGCTGACAAAAGAAAAAAAGGAGAGGAAGCAAATAACCCATATAAGAAATGAGACGGGTGATATCACAACAGACCCAACTGAAATTAAAAGAATAATAACAGAATACTATGAAAAATTGTACTCTAACAAATTTGAAAACCTAGAGGAAATGGACAAATTTCTAGAAACGCACTACCTACCTAAACTAACATAATCAGACGTAGAACAACTAAATAAACTTATAACAAAAGAAGAGATTGAAAAGGTAATTAAAAAACTCCCAACCAAAAAAAGCCCTGGCCTAGACGGTTTCACTGGAGAATTCTACCAAACTTTCAGAGACGAGTTAACACCACTACTACTAAAGGTATTTCAGAGTAGAGAAAAAGATGGAATACTCCCAAACTCATTCTATGAAGCCAGCATAACACTGATACCAAAACCAGGTAAGGACACAACAAAAAAAGAAAATTACAGACCAATATCCCTCATGAACGCTGATGCAAAAAACTTCAACAAAATTCTAGCCAACAGAATTCAACAACATATCAAAAAAATAATTCACCATGATCAAGTGGGATTTATACCACTTATGCAGGGATGGTTCAATATTAGAAAAACAATCAATATAATCCACACATAAATAAAACAAAATCAAGAATGACATGATCTTATCAATCGATGCAGAAAAGGCATTTGACAAAGTTCAACACGAATTCATGATAAAAACTCTCAACAAAACAGGAATACAAGGAAAATTCCTCAAAATAATTAAGGGCATTTATACAAAGCCAATAGCCAACATCATCCTAAATGGAGAGACTTTGAAAGCATTCCCTTTGAGAATGGGAACCAGACAAGGATGCCCTTTATCACCACACTTATTCAACATTATGCTAGAGGTCCAGCTAGAGCAATTAGGCTAGAAAAATAAATAAAGGGCATCCAAATTGGTAGGGAAGAAGTCAAAGTATCTTTATTTGCAGATGATATGATCTTATACACAGAAAACCCCAAAGAATCCACAAGAAAACTACTGGAACTAATAGAAGATTTCAGCAAAGTTTCAGGATACAAGATAAATATACAAAAATCAGTTGGATTCTTCTACACCAACAAAGAGAAATTCGAAGAGGAAATCACCAAATTAAT